TAATAATTAACACATTGACGACGGCATGACCCACCGGTGGGTCATTAATTATAAATAATAGTTTTGTTGCTATGTACGCCACTATTTTGACTGAGTATAAATTAATAATTGTATAATTTTGACGTTAATTAATATAAAAAAAATATATTTAGATAAATTTGGAGAATAACAGGTACAAATTATCAAGTGTGTCATGTTTAATACAATTTCAGGTGGATGCGCCGGGTTACTCGTATATTTTCTATTGCTCGCACAGATATATTGCACATAACTAATTTACAGAAATAGAAAAATTCTCACTAGATAGAACATTAAATAATGAACCAAATTATTTGTACTCTCTAAATTCACATCTTCAGGTTCTTGACGATATTATGAATTGATTTCTTCAAAGCAAGCTATGATGTGTTTTTCTCCTTCGCCGCTTTTTCATAATTGATAATATTTGTGGTAGTGAAAAAAATAAGTTAGACGTGTTTGTGTAAACATCTTTGAACTTTGTAAATGAACTTAAAATCTAACAACTAATTTCAGTTTTCATTCTTTTCAATTCACGTAACAGAGATGATTTTATCAGACATTTTTATGTTTTTAATCAAATAATTCATTAATTTTTATATATTAAGTCTTATATTATATATTTTTATATATTAATAGGAGAATGTACCTCTTAGTTAATAATCTATGAGTCAACACTTCTCAATCAAAATGAATTTGGAACAATTCTCTTATTATTTCTAATAATTTTGATTCACTTCTTCAAAATAAAATTAAAACTTTAAATATAAAGAAAATATTATCTAAGTTATGAAAATATATAGTGATGTAATAATGTTAGCTTTAGTGTTAACAATTATTGCGGTTAAGGGTGTATTCACAATGTAAACAATTTGCAGACATATGCATTTCCATATTAACTGATGCTATAAGTTCCTCAGGTTTTTAAATGGAAGAGGAGAGCAATTGTAAATCAGCTGATTTACGTTCTACGTATTTTGACATGCTAATTCAGATGTTGTCGTTGCTAAGAGATATATTTCTGTTGTGTCAATGTAATTGTTTTGTCATTCAATAAATCTTGCCAATAAAAAACCACAATATAAACTAAATACACTAATAAAGTATTTATTAAATATTACTTAAAACTATCAATATAATACAAACGAAATGCAATTTTCAACTAGATAAAACCTCCTATCTGTAAAACCGATCTGGCTGCATTGTGGATATGCTTGAACCTGTCATTGCCCAGGTGAATCCCTCCGTACCATCTCGTCACTATGACGACAACATTATTAAGATTAAGTTTCTGTAGTAGTTGCATCAAACGTGCATCCGCTAAATACTCTCCATCGTCATCACCATCTTGCAGCAAAACACCGTTCGATTGCGTAATTCTATACGCAGAGATGTTGTGCTTCGCCTGAGAGATTTTCTTGTTCTGCAGAAGCAATTTTATTACGTTTCTGAAACAAACGAAAAGAAATGAACGTAAATTTTAAATTAACACTTTCAGTAAGGTGATAATTACTTGACGTCTTCCTCCGAATTGACAACGCATACGTGACCTTGGAAGTCGCTCTTCCTGTCTCGGATGGTCTCTCCGTGGATGATGTTGTATTTTACGTATGACTGCTTTCCCTTTATCTTCAGATTGTTGTCTGTTTTCCCCTTTCCGTTGTTGTTCTTATCTTTTTTGTCATTGTAATTGCATTCTTTCTGGATAATTTCCTTGATTCTTTCGATCGATTGGAAAAGCACTGGTCCACCAATATTATCACTGCATTAAAAACAAAGTATTATTAAACTACTCTGAAATGTTTCCTTTCAGTCAATTTAAACTTACAAGTAAATCTCATCGAGTGCACAAGTTATGACGTACTTAACATTTTTTGTCAATTTTGGTGCTAACAAGTCGTACGATGGTGGTCCTTCCAATGGATACGAAGAGTTCAAAGTGATGTACAATTCAACGTCTTGAGCAATGTTGATTGTGTACAAATTCTCAACGAAACCATTCTTTTTCCATTGTCTTCCGTAGATTGATTTCAATGTCACCAATTCTTCGGCTTGCAAAGCGTTATTGTTCATATTCATATTGAAAAAGTTTAGTAAAGTAAAAGCACTGACACTTTAAAATAATACAAATATAATAATAGATGTATTCCTGACTAACTCTATTGTTTTCAGAATAATTTTCTTAAGGTTTAGATTCAATATTTCTATCAATATTTCACATTTACCTGCTTAAGATATTACAGGTAATAGAAAAAAGTGGAAGTTATAGCGGTTTGCCCCTTAATATAAATATGTATATTTTCTTATGACTTTATTCATATAAATTAAATTAAATTAATTAAAAAATAAATAAAAACATAATAAAATAACATAATTCTAATTTTATACTTATACTTAATAATTTTCGTTAGTCAATATTTCTAAAAAGTGTTTATATTTCATAGAATAAAATATTTGAAAAAAAAATTGATTAAAAATATTATTTCAAAAAAATAATATATATACAATTTTATGTTTTATTATTGAGTATATTACTGACTTTCTTAATCAATTATAGTAAAAGTATATTAATATTATGGTACTAGCAATAATACTAATTTAATATATTAATATTTTTTATCTTTTTACTAATAAAATTTCATATTATTTTATTAATAATTTTTACATATGATTACCTTTATACGGTGAATTCAACGTGTTGGGCGGCCGCACGTTTTATAATTTTCATGTCACGTTTATAATAAATAATTCATTTTCAAATGTTTTGTTCTTGTCACTCATTTTCTTTCAAGCCGGCTTTGAACCTTCTTCCAATCAATGTCAGAATGATGACAACAAAATGATTATCTTTATAAACTTCATTAAAATTGAACCCACCTTCCGATAGGTTCCTGAGAAATGAACAAAAATCGAAAAGTATGCTAAACGCATTTATTTCGTTTATTTTTTTCAGTTCAGTTTTACTTTCAAATCAAACAATTATATTGAAAGGAACAAAAAGAAATGTTTCTTTTTTTTTTATCATTGTCAGTTTATTTTCAACATTTATTTTTTAATGTAACATTTTTATTTAAACTGTGTAAAAGTAGAAACGAGTAAAACAAGTTGCATAAAACTTTATTCAAAATCTAAGTCAATAGAAAAACAAACAAAGAATTTCTAAAACAAACAATGCAAAATGTCATAAATCACATGGATTTAATTCATTTAATAACTCATTCCAAATTAATAATTTAGTGAAAATGTTTCATCGAATAATTACTTCTGAAAATTAGTTAAATCATTATCATTAACACATTTACAAAGAAAAAAGCGAAAAGTTCGGTTATGTGATTTATAATTATTTAGTTTAATTCTATTGTCACGTGTTGCATTGATTTTAGTAAGAAATATAAATTTCTAGAAAAAAGTATCTGTTTCTCATAATACATTGTAAATCAGTCATTTTTGTATTACTGCTTCAAAGCAATAAAATGTTACCCTACGAGAATTGGGAGGAATTTCTCAGAAGTAAATTTAAAAAAAAAAAACAATAAATATAATTTATTAGTGGGTCTATATTGAAATCCTGACAATCAAATTCCCGACATAGTAAAAATCCCGACAACCATAATCCCGATTATTATTTTGTCGTAATTAAGAAATCTCAAGACACTGTGCATTATTTTGTAGTGAAGTAGTACTATATTCCTAATGAGTTTTATAATTCACCAGAGTTTTAATACCAGTTTTTGAAGTTAGACTTAATATATAAAAATTAATGAATTATTTGATTAAATACATAAAAATGTCTAACATAAAATCATCTCAATTACGTGAATTGAAAAGAATGAAAACTGAAATTAGTTGTTGGATTTTAAGTTCATAAAGTTCACAGATGTTTACACAAACACGTCTAACTTATTTCTTTCACTAGCTTCATTAAGTTGTTGGACGAATATTGGATCAAGATTGTATCTAAATTATTAATTGAATTTCTTAAGAAAAATCTATTCAACACACAAAAAAATATGTTTTTTTTTTATAAAACTTAGTAGATGAGAAGGTAATAATGATTTGATAAAATGTTTACAATTAATATGTTTTATTTAATATTATTAATTTTAAATGTAAATCAAAGAGTCATAATTTTGTTAGAAAAATGATAAGTTTATGAACAAACTTTCTCAAGAAATAATATATTAACTAATATTAGAATTGTAATAAAACATTACATTATTTTTTTTTATAAATTATATCAATATTACAACTGTTTATAGTTTTCAATAATATCAATATATTTATTATAATTTGATTAATTCAACAAAAACATGAAATAGAACAGAAAAGTTGATTTTCTTCTTTAATTTAAATAAAATTGAGTTGTTTCGCGGAAAAACTATTGTCGATAGACTTTTGTTCCAAAAAGGAAATTAATAGAAAAGTTGAAACAATCAAAAGTGTTTGATGAATTTCGACTAACGGAAATTTTAAGTATAATAATGAAATTATTATGCTTTTACTGATTTTTTTAATTTAATTGAAATTAAATAAAAAATTGTATATGTTCATAATTCGGAGAAAACCCATATCCCCTCCATTTTCTTATTACCTGACCCTAGGTTAAGCAGGTATATAAGTATAGTATAAAAGTATAGAAGCTCAACCTTAACAAAATCATTCTGAAACCAGCAGTGTTAGTTGCAACATCAGTAATACTTTTGCTTATATTTTGCTAAGTTTCTTCAGTATGAATATGAACAAAAACGCTTTGCAAGCCGAAGAATTGGTTTCATTGAAATCAATCTACGGAAGTCAATGGAAAGAGAATGATATCGTCAAGAATTTGTACAGCATCAACATTGCTCAAGACGTTGAATTGTACATCACTTTGAACTCTTCGTATCCATTGGAAGGACCACCATCGTACGACTTGTTGGCACCCAATTTGACGAAAAATGTTAAATACATCATAACTTGTGCACTCGATGAGATCTACTTGTAAGTATAAATTGACTGAAAGGAAACATTTTAGAGTAGTTTAATAATGCTTTGTTTTTAATACAGTGATAATATTGGTGGACCAGTGCTATTCCAATCGATAGAAAGGATCAAGGATATTGTCCACAAAGA